TCTCAGTCCTGGATCAAGTATCTAGACTACATCGATGACAAAGTCCAGGACGGACTGTTCCAGCTGCTGCTCAGATCTCTGCACTTCCTGTCTGACAACATGAACCCACAGGTACGCTCCCCTGGGAACACCTGCGTCAACCTGAGCAGCACATCGAGCCTCTGTTGTGGTTTAGCTGGCTGACGTTAGCTGACTCACAGTGAGGACCTGATGGCGTCCTCAGAACGGTCAACAAGCGTGACATTAACATCTGAACACGCAACATACAAACATCCACAGAGCATCAAATACAGCACGAGATCTACAGCTGACATACGCACTAGCACATCAGGGGTAAATACCTGGGGAAGAGAACTGTGAGCAGACAGAAGAAGAAGAGCACAGGAAGTGATGTCAGAGGTTATCAGAGGAAGTTTTCAGGAGCTTCTTGAAACCAGAGAGGGACGCAGCCTCCAAGTTTAATGTAAACGCTGACGGCTAAATGAGAGGCGTGGTGTCATTTTGTAGTAGTTGCAGCCGTATTCAGGACTAAAGGAAACTGGACCAGAGATCCTCTGTGAGGGAGGACGCTCCACTCTGTAGTCCAACAGCTCCTCCCTAAGTAAACCGCCAGCTGGGAGCTCACCTGGTGGAGCCTCAGGTATCGAGTCCACAGGCGCCCCGGGTTCCGGTCCCCCGTCACAACAGATCAGATCAGCAGACAATCGATATGAAAGGACTCGGATCAGGATCAGAACTGGACCAGCTCGTGCTCTCTGGTCTCTCATGTTAACCATGTGATTCACATTCTCAGCTCTGATTGGACAGTTTTTTTCTTGTCCACCTGGACGAAGCCGTTTCCTGCGGCCGCTTTTCCCACGCGTTTGAGTCCGACTGGCATCTTAATACCTAAATAGTCCAGGTGCAAACCTAATGACCACAACGTCACAGGTTCGATTCCAGCTGTGTCACAGCCTCCGTTCTTCTTGCAGAGCTGCAGGGCTGCGTTGTTGGCGGTCCGTCTGGAGCTGCAGGAAACAGGAAGTGTGTTTGAGCCGTCAGTGAGCGGCGGCCTCTCTGACCTCCTGAAGACCATCATCACTGACGTTTACACGGCGGCCAGTCTGCCGCCCAGGATCTCTGTGAGTCGTCAGGGCAACTATCAGGTGACTCCGACGTCACTGTGACATTACACGCTCAGCCTGTCCGGGCTGCTGTTGGAGGCTTTGAACCCGTTTGTCTACCTGTCTGTCTGTCAGGTCTCTCTGCAGCAGAGTCCCAAGCTCTCTGCGTTGGAACAGGAAGTGATGCGTCGCCTGCTGCAGGTGAGGGAGGAGGCGGAGCGTCTGAGGGCGGGGCTGAACAGGTACTCATACCTGTGGCAAAGCAACAGGAGGCGGGTCATGCAGGAGTTCCTGACCTACAGCAGGCAGCTGGGACCCGAGGAGCTGGAGGCCGAGAAGACTCCGCCCACCCTGAAGGACTTCCAGAGAGAGGTGAGACACACCTGTCAGGTGTTTTACTGCAGACACTCCAGGTAAAAAGCACCTGTATTAGCTCACACCTGGGCTGGCTGATTTTGCCGTGTCATCACCTGGTGGCTGTGATGTCGTTTCAGATTGAGTCGCTCCAGAGAGTGAGCAGAGAGGTGGCTCACCTGGATGATGTCATCGTTCTGCACAACTGGCTGCAGGTCGACCTCCGTCCCTTCAGAGACTCCCTGCTGTCACTCATCTACGACTGGAGACACGTGTACACAGAGTACCTGCTGGGCTCAGTCAGGAACAGGTGAACTCACCTGAGACCCGCTAGCTAGGGTTGGGTATCATTTAAAATTTTACAGTACCAGTACCAAACCCAGTACCCTTAAAGTGATACCGATACCAACAGAGTACTTCATTCAATACCTTGCATAAAATGACACCTGACTGGCAGCTTATTATTATTTTTATTGTTGTTATGGACAAGCAAGGTGATTTTCTTGTTTCAAATAACTGCTAGAAGTATTGGGAAATCGCTCCCCATCCTAATTAGGTCATCCTCACTGGTAGCATTAGCCTATAAGGGGAAAGACTACAGCTTGGGACTTATTTTATATTTGAATGAGAGAGGAGTCAAATAGTTTAGTGACCAAATAAGTTGTGGGAAACGAATTTAAGGTATTTTTGATAGGTCTACTATTCACCCCGAGTGCTTTTTCCTTTAGTGGGGAGCCGCAAACCTCGAATAAAACGAGAAAGCCTTCTGTTTAAACAAGTCACTAAACTACACTAAAGATACAAACAGAGGAAAAGAGGGGCTGCAGGTCTAGCCGATCAAACTAACTACACGTGAAGCAGCCCCAGCTGCAACCGCAGTCTCCGTCAGTAAAATCAGCTGATCGATCGGTGACTAGTGATGTGAAGAGCAAATACAAATACAGAGAAGTGTTAACTGATACCAGAAGATGAAACCAACGGAGAGCCAAGCTTGTGGTGATAAACAGTGACGAACACGCCTGAGACCGCAGCCGAAGGTGAGCGGCTGTTAAAATCACGCTTGGACTCCTTTTTTATACGGTTTATGGTGCAGGCACATAAGGAGGAAAAAGGCTGCTCTTCTCTTTCTTTCAGCGTGATTGGCTGAAAGCAAACTAGACAAATAGTCATTTTTGGCCGCGATCTGGTTACAAAAAGTATCGATTGAAGTTCTGGTTTCTGGTTCTGGAGACGTTTCGGTTCTACTCCATACCAGGCTGCTTCGGTCAGGAACAGGTGAACTCACCTGAGACCCGCTGGCCTCAGTCAGGAACAGGTGACTCACCTGAGACCCGCTGGCCTCAGTCAGGAACAGGTGAACTCACCTGAGACCCGCTGGCCTCAGTCAGGAACAGGTGACTCACCTGAGACCAGCTGGCCTCAGTCAGGAACAGGTGAACTCACCTGAGACCCGCTGGCCTCAGTCAGGAACAGGTGACTCACCTGAGACCTGTGTGTGTCTTCAGTCTGCAGCAGCTGACCCAGCGTGGTGGCGGTGAAGAGTCCAGGTTCCCCCTGACAGAGACCATCATCCTGCTGGAGGCCGCCGGAGTCGAGCTGCCTGAACACCTGGCAGCACAGCTACAGGTAGTGACATCACTCATGAAAAACAACATTTTGACCCTCATCACCGTCTGACAGGTGCGACTGAGCAGCCTGTGTCTCCAGTCAGCTTCACGTTAAAACTCCTGAAACCTGTCGTCGTTGTTGTTTCTCTGGCAGTGCTGACGGGCTGCAGAGGACGCGGCGGCTCAGACGGGAGACGTTCATCGGTTCACAGGTTGATTTAGAGCTCACAGTGTTCAGACGTGATGATTAAAGGTTTGTGAATGAACTCTTTGTACCTTCAGTCTAAACAACAGGAGAAGAGCAGCATCTGTTTAAACACCTCATCAACACTTCTCTCATCGTTTAGTTTGGCTTTAAGATTTATTCACCTGATCAACACAGAGATGCCTCTGTTATTCAGCCTGCCTCCATTTAAAGAAAGGGGGTGGACAAAATAATAGAAACGCCTCTCTGTGCAACAGTGAGTTCAGCAGCTGCTCCACATGTTCCTAATAAACTGGACACTCTGAGCAGGGTTTGTTTGTGGTTGGTTTACACTGGGAAAGTGACTAAATGAATTCTCCCACAATGCACTGCCCAAAGGAAATGGAGGGAAGCATCAACAGTAGGTGGTGTGTAGAGAAGAACTGAGCGGAGTCAGACTGAAGCACGTTAATGTGTTCAAAGGGCTGAGGATGCAGCACGCAGTGTTAGACACAATAGTAACATGGGGGCAGCCATCTTTGTTTGTGAACTTCTCGTCGACCTCCAGATGTGACTTTACTGGGACAAACCATCCCGTACTGAACCCAGGGGCTTTCATGTGGAGCTGGTCCCCCTTTGCAGCTTCTTCCACAAGACGATCGTTAGTGAGGTCAGACTCTGTTGGACGAGAGGACCCGGCTCTCAGTCTCTGTCTAGTTCATGCCAAAGGTGTTGGACAGGGGTCAGGTCAGGGTTCTGGGTGGGCCGGTCGAGTTCTTCCACACCGAACTGGGAGACCATTTCTTTATGGAGCTGCTTTGTGCACGAGGGCGTCGTCTTATTGAAACGGGAAAAGGCCAAACACAAGCTGCTGTCCTAAGATTTCCCTTTACAAACACACACCATGAAAACAGAGCCACTCCCTGAAGTATCAGGGCTCCCGCCGTCCTGGAAAATGATTTTAACATGTTGCAGCAGCGTTGAGTCAGGGTGGACGACATTAATTCAAGTCCCTGAAACTCTGAATAATGTCAGTTTCATTATCCTCCAACGGTAAATATCAGTCCCTGCTGGCTGCTGACGCTTTTATTGGCTTTATAATGTTTCCTTCTCAACTTGTTTTAGGCGCTTTAAAAGGTTAAATTGGTTTAAGGTTTTGTTTCAGCTCTAGTTTTGGTTTTGTAGAGCGATGGTTTCAGATGGGCTGAGAAAGTTGGATAAGAATGAAGCTCAGGTCAGAACTCGGGTTCGCAGCGTTTGGGCTCAGGACCACAGTGACGTTAGAAAACCGGAGGCTGTTATTTGTTCAGTTACTGGTGTTCAGGCAGCAGGTCAAAATATAATTCATGAGAAACGCACTCGTAAAGCACAGAACACAGAGATGCTTTCCAAAAGAAACAACGAACACAATGACCACACTATAAAAACATAATATTAAAAGGTCGTCATTCCTACGCAGATGATTTCATAGAGAAGCTGCAGCCCCGTCATTAAAACCAGACTTCAGCATAGAGGAACACGCTCGTCTGTCAGAGCAGCTGGATCATCACTGAACATGATCTCTGGATAAGACAGGCAACCCCGAGGATGTGGAGAGCGCCGTCCATAAACACTGTTCAAAACAGGAAATGAACGACACGAGCGGCTGAATGTATTTCTACCACCAAGGTATCAATTCTACCAGTACTAGTACTGCTTGCTGGTAGTTTTATTTGCAGCAGAAGTCTGATTCTTCACAGAGACACAAAGAACCACAACGAGATACATAAACGCTTTAATAGAATTTCTTTCTCTTCAGAAGCTGTGATTCATTTAGACTTTCCTGCTCAGACAGACACACGGGTCCGGTTTACAGCCTGGCGCTGGTCCGACCCGCTTCAGAAACCAGAACGTAAGAGAGGCACGATGATGAGAAAACCTACAGAGATCTAAAAATAATAAAAATGAAAGTCCTCGTTAACACTTATCATCTTCATGGCAACAAAAAACAAACATCAACTCTGTCCGTTTTGTCCCGCAGGTCCGAGTCCGGATCAGAGGTCAGAGAGAGCTCTGCCCCGGCTGCTGACATCACCACACAGACAGAGGCGGCGGCCAATCAGAGGGCAGCTAGCGACGGTAGACTCCAAAGGCGACCAGGCTGAGGAAGATGGTGACTCCGACCAGCGAGGCGGTGGCCGGGGCGGTGAAGAACTGCCGGTACTGGATCTGACAGTACCACAGCACCGACAGCATGAGGACCAGCAGGGGGACCATCAGGCTGCCCACATTCAGAGCCACCTGCACCTGGTCGGCAGGCCGCGGCCCCCCCGCCGCCCTCCCGCTGGCGTACTGAGAGATGTGACAGTGCAGGACGCAGTTATGGACCAGGTTCAGAGAGGCCAGAGTCTGAGCGTCGTCCTGCAGCAGCTGGCCCTGATAGATCAACCGGACCTGCTGCTCCTGGCCCGCAAAGTAGGTCCTGAAAGGGAAGAGGTCAGAGGTCAAAGCCAGCCGCAACACTGCTCATCATCCACAAGAGTCTCAGAGCAGGAAATCACGGAGACGAGGAGCGAGAGCGTTCTGTCATCTGCAGAATGGCGAGATCTCAGCAGGTTCTGGTTCTATGTGGCGAAAGAACCCAAGCACTGTGCTACTGTCGGGAACAAAGAGGCCTGCGTTTCTGTAACGTGGAGGATGCTGCGCTGCCATCGGCTGTGAAACAACGTGGTCACATGACGGCAGCTGATGTTTTATACTTCTGCGTCGGTTCTACGCCGTACTCATGCATTTATACTGCAGTTACAGCAGATGTGTAGTTACATGTTGGGGAGGTGCACAACAGATTCAGCGCAGAAGTATAAATGAAGCTTTACTTCCAGTCTAAATGTGGTTCGTTCCTCACATACACAGAATAAAACGGTTCTGAGATGTTTTTGCTGTTTCATCTTTCTTTTAGACACCTGCAGCTGAACGTGCCTTTACTGTTGACAGGTGTTAGGGGGACGCCAGAGTACGACAGAGTACAACTAGTGACGCAGGGGGACGCCAGAGTACAACGAGTGACGCAGGGGGACGCCAGAGTACAACGAGTGACGCAGGGGGACGCCAGAGTACAACGAGTGACGCAGGGGGACGCCAGAGTACGACGAGTGACGCAGGGGGACGCCAGAGTACGACGCCAGAGTACGACTAGTGACGCAGGGGGACGCCAGAGTACAACGCCAGAGTACGACTAGTGACGCAGGGGGACGCCAGAGTACAACGCCAGAGTACGACTAGTGACGCAGGGGGACGCCAGAGTACGACGAGTGACGCCAGAGTACGACGCCAGAGTACGACTAGTGATGCAGGGGGACGCCAGAGTACGACGCCAGAGTACGACGCCAGAGTACGACTAGTGACGCAGGGGGACGCCAGAGTACGACGCCAGAGTACGACGCCAGAGTACGACTAGTGACGCAGGGGGACGCCAGAGTACGACGCCAGAGTACGACGCCAGAGTACGACTAGTGACGCAGCAGTGACGCAGCACAGCTAGCTGCAGCGACGGCTTTGTTACCGTTTGATGTAGCCGATGGTGTCCTGCGGTTTGACCTGAGCCCTTTTCTCTGTGTCGTTGAGAAACTTGATTCTGAGCACCATGTTCCTCTGAGAGGACGAAGACTCTCCTCCTCCTCCTTCTCTGCTCCTCACACCGTCTCCTCCTCCAGCCTCTCCCCTTTCTCTCCCCTCCCCTCCTTCTCCTGGGTGGAGGTGTTGGTGGGCGGGGCTTCTGTCAGAGAGCTGTCACTTAAAGAGCTGGAGGGGGGGAAGAGGAAGACGAAGAGTTGGCGGCAGAGAGAGGCGTGTCATGGTGGGCGGGGCTGCTCCTCAATGATGAGGCGGGGCCTGTGGTGGAGGCAAACAGGTGTTCCGGGGGCTCGGTGGTGCGGGTGGAGATCCAGGCGAGCAGCATCACCAGGAGGAGCAACAGCAAACAGAACAGCACCGTCACCTCGTCTCCGACGCCTTCGATCAGCGCCATCGCCCACGGCAACGCCCACTGAGGTCAACACAGGTCACACACCTGCACACAGGGGCGGAGCTTAGCATCAAACACGTCACAGAAGATCATTTCAACCCACAATCAGCTCCACCCTCACTGACCCGTCTGCTCAGATGTTAGATGTTGACAGAACAGGTGTGAAACTCGTGACCTCCTACATTTTGTTACTTACAGGAGGAATTATTGAATTATTAAATTAATGATTCCCTTTTTGCTGAAGACCCGGTGGAGCCCCCTCACGGGCCCTGAGGGTCCTCGGACCCCACCTTAGTCAGCTGGTCCCTGTTCAGATCAGAACTCTCCCTCTGAAGCTCGGGTCCGGCTCTTTGCTCTCTGACTGACCGATAGTCTGGTTTCTTTGTGTTTAACTACAAACCGGTTCTGACTTGATCCACTTCATATCTCTCATCTGAAACGTGGCTCTCGCGCTGTTTCTGTTAACTTTACGGTCCGGACCTGCAGTACAGGTGCAGCTGCTGCTCACCTGGCCGCGCGCACGGTCAGCTGACCGGCGGTGCGTGCGGAGGTTCACCCGCAGCTCGGCTCAGTAACAGCCCGCTTCCGTCCACCGAACTCACGGTACCGTCCTGCTAAAACTCCGAGCTAACTGCTAACTGCTAACTGCTTCCAACTCACAGCCGGGACAGGAAGTCTGCTAAGCTACATGCTAACTGCTGTCAGCCTCACTGATGAGGTCATTAAGGCACGTGGACGTGGCGTCAGAGTCTGAGCAGACAAACAAGACAAAGTTAAACTTACTGTTCAGCTTACAAAGCTCATATCACAGAGTTAGCCCGCAGGCTAATCAGGCTAATCTGCTGCTGCTCACGCTTCCTGCTTCTGCTCCTCCGTCTTCTTCTGTGGTTCTGACTCACGTGACGCGCAGCTGCCTCCTGCCGGTCATCACAAACTCCGCCTTCAGGCCGCGGCGGGAACAACAAGTACATTTATATCTATAAATAGATATTTATAGATAAATACAGGTGGGTTTTATGAAAAGGTTCATTTTCCTCCTTTAAATTAAGTCAAAAAGTGAAACATTTCTGTAGATAGATTTGTTTCATAGACTTTCTTTATTCTAATATGTTGAGAGATGGATTTTTGATCTCCATGAGCTGTAAGCTGGGATCATCAAGATAAATAAAATTTCACTTTAGAATATAAGAAAGTTTAGCGTTTTTGACTTAAATTATTGTGAAAAAATTAATTATTTTCTGAGATGCACCTGAATGAACATTTAATTACAAAATATCACTGTAATCTGTTGCAGTCACTGTGGAAAATGTGTAATTAACTTACAGTTATATATTATATTTATATATACATAAATATTTTATATTTTCTGTATAGATGCAGGGTCCTTGTAATTGCTTGTCCAATTCTGCCAACTCGTTACTGATGACTGAGTGCACATTGTGGAATGAGTATATAAAGAGTTGATTGGGATCCAATTGCAAGAGCATAGTGATACGTAACATGGAGCCAGCAGGTGATACGGGTCACAATGGAGGTCAAGCAGCAGCAGTGGGGAGGAAGACGAGGAAGACGTGTTGGTCAAAGGAATGGCAGGGGACAGGCCTCCCTTCTGAGAGGTGGTCGTGGGCCTCGTTTGAGAGGTGTGGGGGAACGTGGTAGAGGACAAGGCCACGGGCCAAGACAGCGGCAGCAACAGCAGAGTGTCCAGTGAAATTTGGGCAATAGTTGTAGACCATGTCATAAATCTTCTTTGTGGACAATAGCGGCTACAATGATACAACCAAACCTCAGAAGGTCAACCGATGAGAACCGGTAAGTTATCAGCATGCACTAAACATTATGCTACTCTCAATTGTCAAGTGACTGCATAACAATGTGTATCACAGAATAGGTGATGTGAGCAAGTGTCTTCTTACTCTAATGTTCCCTGTAGAATTGTGACCAGGTCAATAGTGGAGGCAGAGGCAAAATTCTAACTGACCAACAACAGCAGGCTGCAGTCGATTTGGTTCGGGACAGAAATCATATTCGCCTTACAGAAATTCACCAGCATATCTTGGACAACGAAGACATGTTCAATAATGTGGGATCCATAAGTTTGCCGACTATTGCACGCATACTGAAAAGACACCAGGTATCTATAAAACAACTGTACCGTGTGCCTTTCGAAAGAAATGAGGACTCTGTGTGTTCAGTAAGTTCAGTTTCAAGACGGCTGTTGTAAAAACATTCCCAAAAATTCTACATTGTACACTAATCTCTAAATCTCTTTCCAAAATGTATTTTTAGAGGGTGATGGAGCTGGATGCTGATGGCGACCATCACAAATTCATATATTTGGATGAGGCGGGTTTTAATCTGGCCAAGACAAGGAGGAGAGGTCGGGATTTCATTGGCCAGCGGGCAACCAACCAAGTACCTGGACAACGTGGGGCCAACATTACCATGTGTGAGTCAGTAAGCTGGTGTGGTGGGACGCAGACCTCCTATTGGACCATATAATGCAGCTCTCCTTTCTTGACGAGCTGGATGAGGTTTGTAGAGCTGAAGGTGTGACCTATCGCATTGTGTGGGACAATGTCATGTTCCATCATGCTCATGTGGTGCAAGCATGGCACAGTTTACCACCCTGTATTTACCCCCATACTCTCCCTTCCTTAACCCGAATTTTTCTCCGCATGGAGATGGAAGGTTCATGACAGGCACCCGAGTCACTCTTCTCCAGGCCATGAATGACGCCTGCAATGACATCACAGCAGACCAGTGTCAGGCCTGGATTCGCCATGACCGAAGGTTTTTTCCAAGATGTTTGGCTAATGAAAACATCCATTGTGATGTAGATGAGAACCTGTGGCCAAATCGACACACGGAGTCGATGACAATGTAGAAGTACAGTAATCGCTTTTGTTCTTACAGTACAAGCAAGTTGAGGAACACTGCATTTGATGTATTACAGTACTTTCTATTTCATAGCTAATTATTTTTGCTTTGATTCAAATAAACCTATGTTGTGATTGTACTGTAGTGTTTGCATCAACTGTTTCTGTAGTATTCTCTCTACTACTGCAGTACGTTTACGGAGAAGTATTTACTGTACATGTAGTACCATAATGAAACCTGTATCACCTATTTTGTTCTACAAATTAATGATTGTACGAACAATGACACAGTGAAACTATCGGTTGCTTGTGTGCGGGTGATCTTTAGTTATGTTTCAATGGTATTTCAGTCAATTTCTTTTTTTGAACCAATGATTGTGCAGATTTCTTTAAAGATGTGAATGCACAATGCAAGTTTTGAACATTCGACAGCCTGTGTTACAAGTGATAACCGTTTTGTGTCTAGAGTTGTTTAAAATGACATCAAGGTTCTGAAATAGTAACAAAGAACACACAAAAAACTGTAAGTAACATTTAGAACGCAGGACCTTTTACTTCTACAGAGTAGTTTAAACTGTAGTTCTTTTACTGCAGTAAAAGAGTAGTATTCTTTAAAACTTAATAAATATATAAAAACATGAGTCATGCCTGTCAGACTGAGAATCTTTTATTGTGAAAGGTCACTTCCTGCGACTCTTTGATAATAAAAACAGAGGATCAATAAATCCTCCATGTGTTTCTGATCAGCACGTGACGGCAGGAAGTAAACATTATTATGTGTTTAATACAAAGCGAAGATTCCCGTAAATCCAAACATTGATCATTAAATGACTGAACCGATTTTTGATCAGTTTGAATTTATTTAATGAAGATTTATCTGATCATCTTTTCCTCTTTTCATAATTAGCTGCGCCCGTCACGCATGCGCACTCCACTATTATGCGGCGATCCCGAAGGAGAGTCAAGTACAGGAAGTTACCAGAGGTTTGTAGTGTTTCCCCTTCAAAATAAAGGCGAGTAGTTTCAATAACAGACTGCTGAGGCAGCAGCAAACAGGGAGTTCACATTTTAGTCAGAAACAAATAAAATACTGGAAGAAAGGGTCAATAGTTCATTAAGAAAGAGTCAGTGCAGGAGGTCAGTGATGTTGTCGCCTCGCGTCTCAGTTAGACAGGTCTGACCTTCCTGGCGTAGTTCCTGAGTCTGAGCCGGCTGTGAACTCTCTCACATGTTCACCAAAGTGATTCAGATCTTCAGCCTGAAACGAACACCTGAAACGCCTTCAGACTTCAGAACAAGAACACGAACGTACTGAACCATCTGGATCGTCCCTTAAACGCCATTTATCCAAGCCATCAAGTTCTCTTCGACCCTTTGTGTGAGAGGAGGAGATCAGGGCTCAGCTCACCAGCGAGAAGAAGTTTTAACTCTTTAGAAGAAATATTTGAGGGCGGTCCTCCAACAGAAAATGTTTAAAGCATTCAACTCTTTATTACCTGCATCTGGAAAGTTTCTGCACCAAGTTAACACAAGTTCAGGCAGCAGTTGACGATTCAAACGTTCCTTTTGTTTCTTCTACATTTAAACGGCACGCTTCCTTATTGTGCAAATAACCTTCATGGTTTTCAGAAGGTGACAGCTGCCTCGACTGCTGAAGGTCCGTTATCATTTTCCAGCACAGGGTCACATAACGCATGAAGTCTGTAGTTCCCTTCATGCTGTACATACAAAATGTAGATCCAGCAGATGGTGGATAAATAACGAGTCCCAGAAATAAACTATCATCAGCGAGTTGAAGAGTCAGCAGAAACTTCTAGATCTCTTCCCAGCATGCAGCAGGGTGAACAGGCTGTGGCTGGGTGGGTTCTGTCCTTAGGATCCTTTGGGCTCTGAGCAGTTTGAGCCCTCCGGTCCCGGGCAGTGCACATCCATGTTGGTGATGTTTCCAGTTGTGAAGTGTGGCGTGGGAGGTTGGCCTTCTTCAGCTTCCTCTAGAAATCCAGTCGTTTCTTTCTTCACCAGCGTGGAGATGTGAGGCGACCATGTCAGGTTCTCTGTGATGCTGATTCACCTGCTCCACCGATTGCAGACAGGAGTGAGTCTTTAGCTCCTTGTTTGTTGACGTTGAGCAGCTGGTTGTTCTCTGAGCACCAAGACTTCCTCCCGATGTGAAGTCTCATCGTTTGTTGGAATCCGGCCGATGATGGTGGTGCGTCCGCAACTTCACAGCAGAGTTCTCTCCATGTATGCAGTTGTGGTGTACAGCGTGAACAGGAGGGGGCGGAGCGCAGCCTGGGGGGCCCCGGTGTGAGCAGCACTAGAGTGGAAGAGGTGAGTCCCAATCCGAACACACTGGGGTCTGTTTGTGAGGAAGTCCAGGATCCAGGACAGAGCTGATCAGCTTCATGGGCAGATTGTGTTGAATGCTGACACAAAGTTACGGGAAATTATGTCTTTTTTTCTCCCGACTTTCACTCAAACATTATTTCCACCAGAGTTTTTGCTGTGTTTTAACTGGCTACGTTGGTGGGCTTTTATTGTGAAACCCCGCCGGGTCACGTGGTGCTCGGTGTGTGACTTGACAGCAGTCAGAGGAGGAGAGAAAGGAGGAATGAATCATCGGGAGGAGACGGCTGATGAGAGACACTCAGAGGACATCTGATCTGAGACCAGCTGCTTTAAACATCTGCACAACAGCAGCAGGTCCTGAACGCACCCGGGTCGCTGATCCCGCCGGGATCCGTAGCGTTCTCTGGGTTTATCTGGGGTGATTCTGGGTGCCAATGATGCCGGATCAGATCTCAGTGTGTGAGTTCTGTCGGAGACCACCGAGGACTACAACTCCCCCACCACGTCCAGCTTCACCACCCGGCTGCAGAGCTGCAGGAACACCGTCAGCA